AACTACCCATCGATGTTACAAGGTTATTTTGATATGAAAAATAGCTTTCTACAAATTTCTCCTGGGTTACCAGAACCAGAATTGAGTGGGGTCATCTTCTCTTGTAATGTGTTGAAGCTTGATTTAATAGTAATGTTATGGGGAGGAGTTGGCAGATATGTATACAGTCCCCTGTCCCCAGTCTTGTATGCTATAAATACAAAAAAAGTATGCAAACTTTAATTTAAAACAACAACAAAAACAAAAACAGACCAACAATGGCCTCTGGGTAGAGAAGAAAAGATTACAGATCCCCAAAACCTTTGAGGTGATGGATATGTTCTCTACTGTGACTGTGGTGGTGTCATGGTGTCTACAGTCAACACATATCAAGTGGTACAGTTCAAATGTGTGATATTTATTACATAACAGTTATAGCTAGCTCTTTCTTTCTTTATTAATTTTTTGAAAGCATAGCCAACACTTAAATTCCTGAAGCTCTGGAGATGAAAAGTTAAGGGAAATCAGGCACAGAAAAGGAACAGTGATTTTAGCACTGTTCCCTCTTTAACTGTATCTGGTTCAGTTACTTTAGCTGACATGACAGAAGAAACAGGTGGATCCCAAGCAGGATTCCACATCATCTTACCAAAGATTTAATATTCTTTTCTGTATAACTAACTCACGTTTTAGAAGGAATGTATAGATAGAAACAAAATTTATGAAAACCAGGAACATTTTGTAATTCTTTATCCTACCAGTCTGGAAAATAACTAATGATATGAGTTTATAAGGAAACTTTTAACTCATGAAGAATAGTGTTCAAGAGTAAGTGAAAAGGAGTTTCTAATACTCAGTGACTGAAATTACACATTAATATGGTCTATTTCACAAACAATGACATGGTGCCAAGCAATAGAAACATGTATCCACTCTTTCACTATCTTAAGACCAGAGGTTAGAGAGAGAAGTTTGTCACTTTGAAAAGCCAATGGAAGAGGATGACACCAAGTTCTCTTACATCTGCTGCCTGTACCACAGAGCCCTATCTACTCATGTGTGGGGCATGTTAGCTCATCACAGAGATTTTAAAAGCATTTCATCTTTTAGATCACAGTTTAGAAGACTGAAGCCAAGTCCTTCTTAGACAATTTGCCATTCTCTCTTTAAAAGCAGATGCTGCCAAAAGGTCTCACACCTCAGTAAGTTCTAAAGACGATGTTAATGAAGATAGTTTTTTTCTTGACAAAGTGCCATACAATGTACAAATTTCGAAGTATACATTTTACAAATAAACCCAAGGAGGGATATAGAGTCTTTCCCAAAATCCATGGGGCCTTTGCGGTGGTGGTGGTGGGGGGATGACAGGGCCCCACAAAAACTAACCAACATTTTACTCAGTTCCATGGACACATTTTCCCCTCGTATTTTCCCACAAAGAACATTTCTCGAGCACAGAACAGATTCATAATAGTTTAATTAGATACATTTCATATATCCCGAACATAATTGCTCTCATAGAAATAAACTAATATTTTGTACACAAACTTTATTTACTGTGCCACATTCATTACATACTGAGCCAAGTGCAAACATCTGTTACACGCCCTGGTATGTGGAGCTCTGCTACCACAAATGCTTCATTATCTAGGATGACAGAGAACAGTGTTAGACAAGATGGATTAATTAAACCCACAAAAGAGTAACAACAAAATGTTCTTTAGTATTAAGCAAAACAGGTGAGTTGGGGTTTCTTCCATAGAACTTCCCTCTCTCTCCAAGCTCCTTGGGACAGGATCTAAGGGTTGGTAAGAGGTCATGCAGAAAAACACAAGGCCAGAGCACAAAAGGTTTGGAAAATTGACAATTTGGCATCCTTGGTACCCCAAACCCCTTGGTTTCCCTCAGCCAGAAAATGACATTTGGTCCCTGCTCTCGAATGTAACAGACATGTACCACTAAAGGTATCTTAAATGAAGTTTATTTTTTTACACAACTACCTGGAGATTTTATGGACAGTATTTTAAAGTAATCCATGAAAAATAATGACAATTAAAAATAACAAAACATCAGCAACACTGAAGAGTAAATTTGCACCTTGGTTAGCAGCGCTGAGCTTCAAAATGGTTGGTTTTTGGTGAGCCTCAGCAAATGCTGTCGGGTACCATTGATGAGTCCAGTCTGGTCACACCCTCAGATTCCTGTCACTAATTACTGCTTTTCCTAATGACCATCTCACTGGAGGGGAGGGAGCTTGGAAGTAAAGCATGGGAGAAGAACACAGACATACCAAGCCTTCCTAGATCCTTGTAAGGAAAAGCAAAACTACCTCCCCCTCACAACCCTCCCTCACAAATATAAAGGTTTATGTAAAATTCCAAGGAATACATCATGTTTTATCATGAGAATGAGCTAACATTCTACCCTTTTACTATTAAGCTTCAAAAGCCGGAATGCTATGTGAATGCAATTCCAATGGGGTTATAACTTTGTACTCACTGTGTGAAGACAAGGAGGGATGGGACCCTTACACCAACACAAGCCAGTGTTCCATTTGGAGGTGAGCTAATTGGGTGTTACAGGAGAGTCTGAAGCCTAACCGATCACTTGACGGTCATAATTAGGGAATCTGAATCTCAGAACAGATTCAAAATGGAGGGTACCACAACATGTGACTGTAATTAACATGACACTTCTCTCATTTTCATCTTGCAATCCAAATTAAAGTTTCAGGGTAGACCTGACCATCATTTACTGCTCATATTTGCCATCTAAACTTATTAGTTATCTAGTGAAGAAGGCCTTATCTATCGTTTCTCCTTTCTCCTCAGATAACCCAAACCCTGGGTACATTAGTTTCTACGGGTCTTTTGCCATTTGTTAAACAGACAGTCCCTATTATCTTTTGATCATCTCACCTTCTCAATCCTTCCTCATTGTACCTTTCTCCTGAAGGATTCTTTTCTTACTTAGGCCATTGTGAGGCAGTTTAGGAAAACAGTACTAAGTACAGGTGAGATGCATTTTAAATTGTACTGTAAGCTTTACCAAGGGAGGAGAACCAATTTCTGTAAGGAAGTCAATAGGACTTTAATATAGTTCTAATTCATATTGAAATTAGACATAATTGAAGGTGCACAGATAAAAGAACATCAGCTTAAATGAAGAAAAAAGTAGTCCCTGACAAGTGGAAGATTTTACAATTGTGAGGCAAACCACCTAAGATTTCAAACAGGAATGAGTGCAAGGAGAGGGCTATGTAAGCCAAAGCTTAACTCTGGCTGTGGCTTAGGGAACTTAGTGGGGAGCACAAGTCCATTCTAATGAGTGCCAGCTGTGTACATGATGCATGGACTTAGATGAATGTTATGATAACTAAAATATTGCTCCATAAAGTGGAAATTCTGTGTTTTCCTCCATGTTCTCAGCAGCAGCTTTGGGTTTTATGGTGATTTAGCCATTACTAGGAATGCTTTGCTGAGGAGAAATAACACCAAAATCGATGCCTCTTAACAAAATATAAAATGTCACTAACCTTGTTAGCAGAGTCTAAAATAACACTTAAATTCAGATGGTGAGACTCTAAGAATAAAACTCTGACAATAAAATATATGTAATTTTCTAATTCACTAGGAAGCCCCCTAAGGGGATTTATTTTTTAAACATACAGGCATTTATATAGTCATGTACGTGCAGGAACTTAGGAATGGCAACGCAAGCTTCCTACAAAAACTTCTGTGTACCTGTGGAGGAAAAAACAAAACCCGAAGAATTCAAAACACATCTTGCCCACCCCCACCTTTGGAATGGATAAATTTTTTAGCCTAAGTTTTTTATTTCTGCCCTTAGCAAGGTAGGTGATTAATATGTAACCATGTATTATATGGAATTGCTTGACTTTTAAAAAGGAAGATGATTTGCATAGGATCCATCTACATAATGCAAATAAGCTTTTGTTCTCTGTGGAATCTGAACAGTGCCAAGGAGTGGGCATGAGTCAGGGATGTACTGTATGGCCTTGTATGTACAGTACTCTATGGTACCACCCAGCCCAGGCAGAAACTCCAAACGTTTGTTACTTCCTAATGAAGTTTTAACACTGATGTCAGGTGGCCAAATCAAATACAGCATTGCCAAGTACCAGGGCACACCGTGAGGTCAGATGGAGGAAGGATGGCTCACTATCTGAACACGGGACAGGAACTAAAAGAGCAACCTGGATGAAGAGATCTACTTAGAGTATCGTCCTTTAGCCCTCTTGTCCTTCAGGTCCACCACACTGTAACTCACTTAGCAAAGGAAAATGTGCTTTTCCTTATTTAAGCCTCTTACATTAGCTGAATCAATGTTCTGACCAAGAAAGTGAACCCATGCCAGGATTCTGATGATCTGTCCTTCACATACACCTATGAGCATACATTTAAAAAATGGTTTATTGTACATCTTTGCATTTCTTAAGGCATGAACAATGTTGTAAAGATGGAATGGGTTTCCGGAAGCATCATGTCTATTTTGACGAGGCTGGTACAAGCACACCACATCAAAAAACACACTTCAAGTCTGAACTAACTGACCACTACGGCCCAGGAGCTCCTAAGGTAGGGGATGAGGCTTTCAGACAGCAGACCAAACATGTAGTTTTTATTTCATTTTATACTCTCCTGATCCTCTTGAAGCACCGGTTGGTTACAGTTTGATCTTCCTGATCAACTCTTCTGCCTTTGGATCTTATACTCCCTTCTTTTAATCTGCTTTCCGAGGAGGGCATGGATTTCATTTCATTTATTTTTTATTGTATTTTATTTTTTAAGGAATATGGTTGCAGCAAAACAGAAAGGATCCAAAAGTGGTTAGGAGCCTTGTCTAATGCACTTTTGAAAATCCATTATAAAGATGAATAGAAAAGCAAATGGGAGGTTTTCAGTCGACCCAGAAACCACTCGTAGCTATAAGAAACATAATTGTGCATAGTTATTTATTCATTCGGAGTGTGGTGTTTTGGCTAGCTCTACGTCTCCAGTTTACCAAAGAACAGGGCTGTCTACTTTGCTAAACCCAGGGTCCTTCCGAAGCTCCCAGTAGGTGTCATTAGAAACCCAGGCTTCTCTTTGATTTGCATCAATAACTTTTCTGTGAAAAAATGAAAATCAACATTAGCCACAAATCACATCAAGGTCAGCTGATAATATAAAATAATATATATAGTTAGTGTGCCATCTACCAACAATCAATAAGCTGGCAATTTCTAGCCATAAATAAAGTAACTGTTATCATTAAATAATTGAAATAAAAGCAAAAAGGGCAGGAACTAATTTTCTCTAATTACTTCTGGGTATGGGGAGAAAGCATCGAGGCCCAAACACAGCTCTATGAGCATTGTAAGGAAAAGCTTCCTCCCAGGAACAGAACATCAGTAGCTGCAAAAGCCTCTGTGAGAACCATGTCTGAAGGGCACACTGCAGCCCCGAAGGGCACACTGAAGCCCTGAAGGGCACCCTGCATACGTGAAGGGGACATTGCAGACATAAAGGGCACACTGCAGCCCCGAAGGGCACACTGCCTACCTGAAGAGCACACTGCAGACCTGAAGGAAACACTGCAGACCTCTGATAAGCACACTGCAGACCTCTGATAAGCACACTGCAGACCTCTCATACATAGTCACACTGCAGACCTCTGAATGGCACACCGCAGACCACCAAATGGCAAGTTTGCACTGCCACCCCAGGAGAACCATGAGATGATAGCTCTAAGGGGAGGGTGCTGCCCTGAGTTTTTCTGTGAAAACTCAGGAGGATGACAGATGATGGATCTGGAAACTACAGAGTCATCTCCGTGATGTTTATGTAATCCTTTAAATAATCCTGTAGTAATCATCTTTGATCAAAGCACAGTGGGGCTAAATATGAACAGAAACAAGCTGTGTGTGACAGACATAAAATGAAATCCTAATGAAGTCATGGTGCCCTTGGGGATAGAATCCCAACCACTGCCTGCACGAGAAGCCAGAATACTGTTTTGCCACTCCAAAGAGTCCAGCTAAAGGGAAAACACCTTCTGGTGAGCTCCTCTCTATCTCACTGTCCACAGAAAGAAAGACCCATTAAGAAGAACTGACCGTTATGACAACTCACTTGTACATGCACAAAATCCAATTCAATATTTTCACTATTCAGTGTAAAGTTACCCAAGTCAGTTTAAGTTCTCTGGACACTCTGCAACCCTCTTTTTTTCCTTACCAAGATTTCCTCATGGCCTGTGGCAACCTTTAGTAAAACACAAACTCGCTGTAGGAATGGCTGACTTACTTAAAAAATTTTGGTATATGTTCAAGGTTGTTTTCCTCCATGTATCGTCTTCGAGATCTTTGGAGTTCCTCAACTCTTTGTTTTTCTGCTGCTGCGGCTTCTAAGTTTCCTTCTTCCAAAAATCTAAGCAGAATACAGTTGATATTCCAATGTTAACATCTTTTAGAAAAGAAATGGCATAAACTTACCTGCTGGCTGCTGAGAACATCCTGAACAGTGGTGACATGGCTGATGCCCCTTCGCCTCTGTCCCAGGCCATATGTCCCCCGCCTATCCATCAATTAATATAGTTTCTGCACATGTGGATTGAATTGCTACATTTAGGAACACAAAAGTCTGATAAGGGGGCACGTGACTGCTTTGGCCTTGAACACTTCTCTGGGCTGTCTGGGGTTCTATAACCTCAGTTGTTGTTGTTTTTCTGGAGAATGGCAGTTGAGGGTAAGAAGAACCTGAAGTCACAAGTTGGGTTCCTTTCTTCATGGTGCCAAATGCATTTGTGAAAGGCTATGGGATGCTGGATGGTGATTGGCTGTCCTCTATTCAGAGAACAGATTGAGAGGCAAGGAGCTTTCCTCTTTTACTGGGGAGCATTAGAACATTGAAAAAGAAGGTATTTTGAAATAGAATTGAGAAGGTGAAAATGGAGCCAATGATGATTTGTGAATGTTTAAATCTGTGGCTGGCATGTGGGACTGTGGTAGACAGGAACTTGCTAAACATACACAAGGACCTGGGTTGGATTGCCACACACACATACATACATACATACACACACACACACACACACACACACACACACACACACACACACACACACACACCCCTTTACATTTCAAAACAAGAGCAAAAGAGAGGTGCATAATACAATATACATTGTACAAAGTTAATTGCTGAATTAAATGTCAATCAGTGGGATACACATTCTGGTAGTGACATAAACTGCTGTTTTTAGTAGTGTACATAGAATCATATGTAGAACAGAATCAAGTGAAAATCCATACCAAAAACATTTTAGGAGGGGAAAAACTCCACAAATACCTGGGAAACAGAACTGATCTTAGGTGGAATGCAGATGACATATAGAATTTTAGAGGCAATGAAAATGAATTCTATAGAAGTGGACATCATGATCACATAAAAATAACAAAAAAATAATTTTGGTAGTTTAAGTACAATTCCACACCCTCTAGGACTAAGGTATGTGGTGAAAGCCCCATTTAAATTCGGATCACTTCCAGGCTCTCCTGGCACTCTTATCTTCAATTTACATGACACCCCACGTTACAGGGCAGTATGTGTAAAGAGGTCAAAAACACAGGGTGAGGCATGATTGTATAGTGACCACCTGAGTTTTCAGACATTCAGCAAATATGCAGAAGCTCTCTGTTAGATGGCCATCAAGTAAACTTCTGTTATAATCACCCTACAGATGCCATTTTGCCCAGAGTTAAGAAACCCAAGCATTTCTGAGTGAATATGGGGATGAAAGGATGCATGAAGGAGCAAACAAATGATGGGGAAAAGAGACCCGATGACCTTTGCTGCAAGCCTGACCTTTGATCTGGCCGGAATCGAGCATCTGTGGGAGGAAGGAGGTCCTTCAGGACAGGATCCAACTCATTGAGCTCCACCGCAAACCTTGTGAAGCCATAGTAGAGCTCGTAGTTGGTTGGCAGAGAACCTGGAGAGAGGCCAAGAACAGCTGTGAGAGGGAAAGACTCACATGGAGGGAAGGAGCCAACTTACCTCATCAGGAAGAGCACTTATTAATGAGAGCCCAGTTTACAGACCGACTTGTACTCATGAATACAACATTATGACTTTCTTCCAAGTAATTAAACTATTTCTATTTTATTAGGTGAGAAAGTTTGTGTTGATGGTCAGAACTGAAAGATTAACATATTTAATAAAACCCTGCCTTTAAATAAAACCTGTATTACATTAATAGTCTTAGTTGGCTAAACACAGATTTTTTTTCCTGTGGAATATTTAATTAGGGTAACTAAAGACCAGGCTAGTTAACTACAAACATTAACATTTCACCAGAAACACCTGCCATTTACTTCCTCATTAAAAAAGATACAGGTATAAATATTAGTATTTCTTTAAAACATTTAAAAATTATTTTTAGTGTTTGTTCTTTGTGTGTGTGTGTGTGTGTGAGAGAGAGAGAGAGAGAGAGAGAGAGAAAGAGAGCACCATATGTTTGGTGTCTTTCTTTGGCTCAGTTTTGTCTGTTTTTCTCAAAGCTTATTTTTATTTATGTATGTGTGTCTCAGTGAAACATGATATGTGTGTGTGGGTACCCACAGAGTCCAGAAAAGAACGTGGGATCCCTTGAAGTTGGAGGTGCAGACAGTGCAGGCACTTGTGAGCAACTCTATATGGATGCTGGGAATGACCCCAGTCCTCTGGTGGAGCAGTAAGTGCTCTTTACTGCCAAGTCACCTCTCCAGTCCCAGGGATTTCCTTTTCTCCCATGTGGATTTTGGGGGCCGGAACTCAGTACTGGCAGCAGGTACCTTTACCTTCACAGGCATTTTGTGGGCCTGTAGGGGACAGTAAGCCACACCTGTTAGAGGCTAGCTACAGGTGTGCTTACTGTCCCCTACAATTCCCCTTTTAGTCTAAAAGAGGATTAAAACTTAATAGTGTAAAGTATCCAAAATTAACAATCATAAAGGTGAAATATAAATAAGCTGCTATTGCACATCCTAACCATGTCTATTTCCGCTAAACCCTAAAGTCATCTGAAAGAAGTGTCCAAACCTGAACACCTCCTTTAAGGCATGGTCAGGCACACCTGTAGCCAGCCTCTAACAGGCGTGGCTTGCTGTCCCCTACATGGGAAATTTTTTTATTTCATCTTAAATATTTGTTTGTGTGTGTCTCACACACACATGCATACACAGTTTGAGCTATAGCACGTGTACAGAGGTGAGAAGATAGACTAAACTCAGGTTGTCAGGTTTGGGGACAAGTGCCTTTAATCTGCTGCTATCTTGCCAGCCCTGAGAACCCCCATCTATCCATTGAGCCATTCACCGGGCTATCCATCCATCTACCTACCTACCCATTTACCTTCCTTTCCTTCCTTTCTTTTTAATACTATCTCACTTTGCTGTTCAGGCTCATCTTGACTCCTGGGTTCTGCAATCCTCCTATTTCAGGTTCCCAAGTATGAGGACTACAGACATGCACCATCACTCCTGGCAGTGAGGTAAGACACTTGCTTGATACCCAGATAGATCTTCACTTATGTAGAACCTCAAATTTATACCTCAACCTCTTATTCATGCTTATCAGTAAATTCAAGGTCTAATCTATGTTTGCTTAGCTTACTGAAGTATTTCAACCTCCTAGGACAAGGCTGATGCACGGTCGATACTCAGTAAGTAGTTACTAACAATAGATGAATTAACCACTCTACCATCAGGAAATTTAGAAACACTTAACAGTGTCTTTTAGGAAGCCAATAGCTAATTGTGAAAGTTGGAGATTACCTGACAAATTCCAATTAAAATAAATGTCACATGGAGTTTTTTTGTTTTTTCCATTTATACTTTGTATTCAATTTATGCTAATGCAGGATCTGGCTCTGCTGATGTCTTTTGTTAAGTGTCTGCATGTAGCAGTTTTGCTGCTCAAGTCAAAAAGATCACTTACTGTGGGAAGTTACTGAATTTAGGATTACAGGTATTATATTTCCTTGGATTTATTTAAAAAGTAAACACCATGAACAAGGGCTTGCTTATGTATTTCAATTATTCAACTATTTAGCACACCTAGCATGTGCATGTATGCATTATGTTTAAAGCAATTTCCCATGGCAGATTTTAACAGATCAGTTTACTGCATGCCAGTGATTTAGTCCATTTCTTAACTATCAAGTATCAAATAGTGGATTTTACATGTAACTTATTTGTTGAATGTAAAATAACTGCAAGTGCCTTGAGCATTTACATTTTAGATTTCACTATTAAAAGACAAACTGCATGGTATGCCCCACCATTCCCTCCCTTCTGTTGCCCAGAACCTCCTGACCATCTCACCTGGTCTCCAAATGCACTTTGCAGAGGGAGCCACCCCGCAGTAGAGCCCTTCATGCCACTTCCCAAACAGCCGGTGCACCACTTTCCCCTCCTGGTCTATCACCACCCCCTGGACTTCATTCACATTGGAGTTCCAGTAATTCACCTGGAAAACAAGCAACCCCAAGGGCTTTAGTAACAACAACCTGTCCTTTCTATATGCAAAATGTTTTCCCTTGGGTGGCAGCTCAGCACACTTCACATACAGGGGAAGGTTGTTCTTTCCCTTGGGCGGCAGCTCAGCACACTTCACATACAGGGAAGGTTGTTCTTTCCCTTGGGTGGCAGCTCAGCACACTTCACACACAGGGGAGGTTGTTCTTTCCCTTGGAAAGTAGCTCAGCACACTTTACACACAGGGAAGGTTGTTCTTTCTCTTGGAAGGTAACTCAGCACATTTCACACACATGGAATGTTGCCTTTCTTGCTTTCTATCTCACTAGGGTCTCACTAATGTAGTTTGAATTGGCCTGGAACTTCCTGTGTATCCCAGGTTGGCACAAAACTCACACTCCTTTTACCTCAAACTTGAAAGTGCTTGGATAAGTGTGTGTGTGTGCCATAGTCATTGGTTAGATTAATTTCTAAGTAGTGTATTTGATTCCCAGTACAAAAACAAACACCCCAAACTTCTGCTCCATGCCACAGCATGATAGCATGTCAATCTCTAGCTCTAGATCAGTTGTTAGCAGAAGAACCCAATATTAACTCACATGTTAGTGATTTTTGTCTTCAGATTCTTTCCCTTTGCTCATGGGTCTTAATGAACTTAAACTGGACATGATAGCAAAATAATTGGCAAATTCTGTAAGGTTCTTAAACAAACTTGGTTGTGTGCTGTATTTCTACTTCACATCAGTGTTACTAGGTAAAATGGTGTTCCACAGGCATTTCTTTCCATAACCATTTTCTAGTAAATAAAAGTAGCACTTTCTCTTGGCCCAATTGGGATAGCTATAAAACAGGTTAGATGGGTTTGGGATGACTGGTAGCTATCGTCTACATGACTCTGTTCAAGTATTTTCAGGAACTGACAACTGTATTAAAATCAGAACCCTAAATAATATCACATAAATATATTTATGTTGTAACCTAGAGGGCTCTATATAAGAATGAAATGTGTTCTAGAATTTTACTTAGTATCCTGGCTGACTATGTAAAAACAAGTTCCTTTAAAAATAAACTTATTTCTCCTTTGACATGGTATTTTTGGCCTCCACAAATTCAGAAGTTTACATTCCTCACTCAACTCTGTAAGTCAGTTGTACTTTATTGTCTAAAATGCCCCAAAATATGATACAGGGTAGATTTCCTTCAATTTCTTCCTTAGGAAGCATTCTGTATGATCCTTCCTTTTCTGTTCTACAGTGCTTCTTACCTTGACAAATGTGAGTTTGCAAATGCAAACGCTGCTTTTGGTATTTCTAATGGTCACTTCACCATAATGCTCGATCCATCTTCTCCCACTGAGGATATTGTGGATGCATGTGGTGACTTTATTCCACACATAGTAATCTCCATACCTACGAAGAATACGGCACTGATCAGAAGCAGTGGACACAGATGTATTACTGTTCCTACAATCGAGAACAATCTTTGAGTAAGACTTCTTTTCCTCTCATTTCTTAAAAACTTCTGTGTAGCCATAAATATGCACAGCACGATTCATTTACTTAAGGAATAATGAAGTGTTCTCTATGGACCTAAAGCTGCTAAGTTCAGTAATGCCTCTTTTCTGCCCCTCTGGGGCTAAGAGTATGCTAGGGGTATAGTGATGTGTAAGCAAATACTCAAAAAAGTCAAGTATCATGAAGGGTTACTCTTCACAAATGAACAAAGCATCATGAGAACAGCAGGTGGGGTTAGTCCTTAGCTTTGCAGGAATATGGAGTGATAATCAAGCAAGAGATACCAGATGGGGCTGGCTCTGTAGGTTTGTGGTGGGCAAGTGGGCACTGTACATGGGGGAAAAAGTATCTATAAGGCACAAGGGCCAGAAGAACCTGGTATCTGGAGTCCTGTCAGTGGTGTGCTCCAGGTCATGAGGAGGGCAGGGAAGGCATTTAGTGACCTACCAGAGAGTCTACATTTACTGGCAGCAATGAGTATTTGTGGAAGGACTAGAGCAAAGAAACTTAATCAGATACACATTTGGGAATGATTATTCTCAGAACACTCTCACGGTACATTGTCATATTAAAAGTTAGGAAGATGGATTCATTCTTTAGGAAAAAGATGAGAAGGCTAACAAACCTATCTACAGCACAAATCCAATGTACACTCTGGGGAATGATGTAGAGAATTTTTGCCAAGCAATGAAATGGGATGGTCACAAATCAGATGTAAGTGCACAAATTATGCATATTTTCAAGTATAATTATATTTCATAAGGAAATAAAATACTTCTAAGGTCCAACTGGTGTGATATGGGTATTGGAGACACCCGGGAAAACTATTCTTCATGAATTTTTCACTTATTAAAAGTTTATCTCTTTCATCTCACCTTTCCTCATATCCAAGTCATCAGCAGGTTGTGTATGCATATGCTAGCATGCTTGTGTGTGTGTGTGTGTGTGTGTGTGTGTGTGTGTGTGTGTGTGTGTGTGTGTGTGAGTACAGGCATGTGTGTGGAGGTCAGAGGGTAGCCTCAGGTTCTGGTCTTTGCCTTCTGCTTAGAGACAGGGTTACTGTGTTGTTTCTCTGCTGCACACTGCAGGCTGGCCAGCCTGTGTTTTCTGAGGATTCTCCTGTCTCTACCTCCTACCTTCCCACAAAAGCACTGGATTACAGACACACATGCTATGTATGTCTTCTGGGGATTAGAACTCAGGTCCTCACATTTGTGCTGAAGTGCTTTTATACACCAAGCCATCTCTTTAGCTCCACACTCCAGCACATCCTACCATCCAAATAGATAAAACCCAAATCAACCAAACAAGAAAAAATACAACATTATCTTTGTCTTCAATACAAGCCAAGTAATTTAAAAATATTTACAGTCCATCTCTTCTAAATCTTTTTATATAGAATATGGCATAAAAGGATTCCATCATTACTTTTTTATAAGTAACTTAGGAACTTAAAATAGGTCCTTTATCTAATAAAGGTGAAATTATAAATAGAATAGAAAAGAAACGGATAAAGGGAGAGCCTGCTAGTAAAAATGTAGATTAGTATGTTGGTGAGAACATGGCATGTGGCTGTTTTGGGCTGATCAAAAACAGGATGCCAGGAGAGAAGCAGGAAGTTGTGGTACAGGGGCTAAGGTTATTTGTTTTTGTGGGAGTCCACATTGAAAAAGTCATGCTGAAGGTAACAGAGACTTTGGATATACAGGGAAATTGGACCCTTTGAACCTTTCTGCATACCACTTGGACTGCAAGAGCAGCTAAGCAGTCAGAGAGGGAGGAGAAGGGAGCAACCTACTTTGGAAGCGTAACATTCAGGGTTCCAACAGGCAGGATTTCCATCGACTTGCCCCAGAACTTATTTTTCCATCTGATATCTAAATGAGATAACGAGAGGGAAAACATTCAATGCTCCACGTCTGATCAGTTCTGTAAAAACTAACACTGGTGTTATAGTTTACAAAGCATTTTTTCGATTATAACTGATTCTGTACTGTGATTTAACATCACAAGGACCTGAAAATAGCCAAGGTGAAAACATTGCGATTCTTCCCAGACTCATATTTGTCATCATGCTCCCTGCTTGTTTCCAATAAAGGAAACACATTCAAGCCAGAATAAGATACATACATGTGGGAGGTACTCATATATGCATGTGAACATAGATCCTATGGTGCTTTGATCCCCAGATAATAATAAATACTAAGTCATGACTTAGTGACTTAGACAAAAAGTCACCATGTATATCAAGCCTGAAGTATATGTAAAAATAACTGCAGTATGGTATTACCACCACTGACTTATAACATATCTCCCCCTGTGTGAAGGAGTTGTATGTCTCAAGAGAACAGCAAAAGAGAAAAACGTAAACGAAAATCTTTACATAGAGATAGTGAAAATTTATGAGCAAATGGGATGAACTTAATGAACATGTCTCTACACTGGCTATGATACAGCCCGAGGCTCAGCACTTTCTAATAGATCCCTGAACTGGCTAAGACACAGCCTGAGGCCCACCACTTCCTCTTATTCAATGGCTTTTATGTTTTCCACATGGAGACTCAGCTCTTCCTGCAAATCTGTAAAAACCACCTGGTCCCATTTGGATAAACTAAGGGAGCTTAGGGCTTTCTTTAGAAAACTTCTGACTCTTGGTTATAACCAAGAATAAATTTATTTTCTTATTTTGACATAAAGTTCAGTTACAGTACTCTGTCATTGTGTGCTCTCAAGTTAAGGTAATGCTTCCTGTGACCAATGAAACACCCTCCACATGTAAAGAACTGTTATGCACTTAATAGTCAAGTCAGTAAATGCATTCTTTTTTCCTAAGGTGGTTTTGAAATTTTATTTTCAGTAAGACTGCAAAATTATACCACAGCAATATAACATCTACATGTTATACCATGTAACAGATGCTCATGTCCTTTATATAAAAAGTGCATGATATTTGTAAATGACACACTGCTCTCATATACTTGAAATTATCTCTGAATTACCTGTAAGAACCAACACAGTATCAATCCTAAGGAAATGGTTGTTTATTGTTACATTTCTTGGGGAATAAAAGAAAACTATTCTTTATACATGTTCAGGTAGTTTTTCTGAGTATTGTTCATCTAGGTTGACTGACTCTACACATGCTCATGGACATGTTGGGTCCAGACAGATGTGCCAGTAGGCATTCCTTTGGGATTAAAATCTCTGTACTTAACTCCAAGAGCAAGAGGGTAACAGACATCAGCATCACAGTATAGAGGCCTACAAGGCATGAGACAAGGTTCCAGGCTGGAATGGGCATCATGGAGCTGATATTCCAAAGGCTCAGCATCTCATTTCCAAGACAACATGGTTTCATATTAAGCTCAAAATGACCCCATCAACATTTACTAATAGTCTCTGAGTTCCCAAGGCAGAAATCAAACTGAGCACAGTGTACTTTGAGTAGCTAGAAATATTCAACAGCCTTATACATTTGACTTTCAATTGTAATTGAAATACAAACCTTGCCAGAACACAAAGTTCTTCGATTCACAGTGACAGGCAGAAATGGGTGGATGAGGGAGAGAGAGAGAGGAGAAGGAGAAGAGAGAAGGAGAGAGAGAGAGAGAGAGAGAGAGAGAGAGAGAGAGAGAGAAATGATGCTAGTATTCCGACTTCTATAAATGATGTTTTTTGTTTTTTGAGACAGGTCTCATATAGCTCAGGCTGGCTTCAAACTTACAGCATTACTAAGACTGGCCTTGAACTCCTGATCCTACTGCCTCCACTCAGTGCTGTGATTACATGCATGCACCACCACACCTAGATCATCAACAATATTGTTTTAAAAAATAAAAGCATTCCTCCCCCAATGAAAGCTAGAGTATCCAGTTCTAATAATAAATTCATCTCTCAAAGTTATAACTAAGTCATTAATATTTAAGACATCATGGGTAAACACAGAGAACTTACACTTAGAGGGGGTGAGATGCAGTTACAATTACATGATTTTCCTGTTAACTGTAAGATAGCCTGTCCCAAACACACAGTTATTAAGGCCTTTCTCTTCACTAAACTGTCCTCTTATCTTGGACAGCAAGTTCACTTACTTGTTCTGAGAAGAATCGGAACCCCTTATCTTCTCTTATGCATTCGTAGGTCTCCCCCAGGACGGGATTGAATGGTTTACTTCCTGCTCTGAAGTAGGTGGAGCAATACCCTGAGACTGCAAATGCAGCAACGAGAACCTGTAAAGATAGCAAGAAAGTGGGTTTCTCAGATGCTGTCTGGGAGGCCAGTACAAGACTGATCCAGACCCCTGAACATGGATGTCAATAAGGAGACCTCTGCATTCCAGGAAGCCTCTGGCAGTGGATTAGTATTTCCCTGGTGTAAGAAGGGACTTTGAGAGCCCGTCCCACATGAGGGGAGGGAGAGTGAGAAGGGACTTACATGTGAAACAAGCTTGTTCCCTAACTTGAACTAATAAAAAAAAAAGAAAAAGAAAAAGAAAAAAAAAAGATAGCAAGAAAGGAGCACTCAGCTCCATCTGTCTCTATTCCCACAGATTGTACATTCTCCATGTTGAGGGGTGCTGAGTTGATGCCACTTGTATTTTCAATTACTTGAATCCCTATCAATACACAGGTAGGGATAAGTTAAACGACCCCTGTGAGAAGTGTCAGGCAATTGAAGTCAAGTGCTCTTCATTCAAGTGTCCACTCACTCCTGCCTATCATAGATGTAAAGGTTCTGGAAGCCAGTTTGTTAGCCATGCTGTGGGCACACCCTTAGCCCCACAGGCATGAAGGTGTGGCCGCCGGTGCTGGTTAGAGCAGAGGTCAAGTTTTCCAGCCTTGTGGCATAGAGGACAAAGTACCAACAGCAAGTTGCTCTCTTACAATTATGCTCCTGAGCAGATGGCTCTCCTGGCACACAGGACTAGCTGACAAAGCAAGACTCAGCAAGCTTTTATCCTTTAAGGAGGTTTTAATCCCTTTCCCAAACTTTAGGGAACACTCTAGACCAGCAGGTGTTCACAACCTCAAGGTTAACATGTATCTCATAAGGTCCAACATGTTTGTAAATTGATTCCATATGGCAATGCCAAGGGTTGAGATCCCTTTGTGAGTCTAGGCCAAGGAAAACTCACATGAGTAGCTTCCAATAAGAGTGATCTAGAACTTTCTGGCCATGCTTAGTTATGCACACAGACCAAATCTTCTCTAATACCTACGCAGTGAGAATGTTATTGAAAGGTTCAGGCTTTAATGCTGATCGGTAATATTTCTTTAAGAGACAGACTCTGCCCCCTGACAACAGTCAGGGCACGAACAGGAATACGTGCTATGTCATCACCACATCACCCACCACACATGCCTGAGGACTCTGGGCATGCGTGGAACCTCAGTGCACTTGCACAGTCTTCCCTTTAAAAGTTCCAACTTCCTTGATACTCTCTCTCTCTCTCTCTCTCTCTCTCTCTCTCTCTCTCCCTCTCTGCTGCTTCTTCGTTCTCTCTCACCTATGCACTCTCTCTGCCTCTCTATGGCGACCGGCCATGGTGGTCAGCCATTACCCCTGTTCCTCTTCTCTCGTAGTCTCCCTACTCTGCCGTGCCTATAATAAGCTAGTCAATATGTCTCATCCACCTCTTTGCATCTTTTTCTTAAAAACATAACAGTTATACCAACAGAAAAGTTGTCTACACAATGGCTGTAGCCTGGCTCAGATCTTCAACGGGTGCTGCCCTGCCTTTCATTACCATCCTCTCGTAGGGGTCATCCGTCTCCGAGGCCTTGTCCAGGAGCTCGCTGTACTCCATTTCTTCACAGAGGTGCTGCAGAGTGTTGAGTGGCTCGTTCAGCTCCACAGGCATGGAGACCTTTGACAGGTCTTTGCCAATGTTGTTTCTCAAGATATTCCACAGGTTAATGTTACTGGTGTCAGGGCAAGGAGCAGGCAGGCACGTGCGGCGGCCATTCCTGAAGGCACCTCCTGTGAGTTCCCCATTCAGGACTGGGAGAAGAAGCAGCACAGTGAGTGATGTGTCTCCTCTCTGGCTTCAAAAAGTCAGAGTGGAAGCGAGAAACTGTCCATAGAATTCTGACTGTAACACATCTAATCACAGCCTCCTTGATACACAGGATCATTCTATACAAAGTCGAAAACTAATGTGCAAAACATCAGAGTAGGTTTTTAAATGAAGTTTTAGATATACTCAAATATTATTTAAAACTGTCTGTCTGTCTGTCTGTCTGTCTGTCTGTCTCTCTCTCTCTGTGCAAGTATTTTAATGAGAGGGATTTGACATTTGGGTCTGAACAAGAGGTAAACCTTCTCCACCACACACCCAACAGATTTTACAATCTGATTTACACACCTTGACAGATTATGCAAAAGAAAAGCCATTCATAACTAACTGAAAGGGGATAATTGGTGAGCAGACTAAGGGAGTGACTGGCTAGTAATTCACCAGGGTTGTAATTTGGCATGTAGATAGAACAACCTGGCTGCTCAAATGATGCATACTTTGCCGAGAAATATTGTCCGCCACACTGGTGTTGTCTTCAGATATGTTATCACTCACGTCGCTGATGTAGGACTCGTCATCAGAGGCCTAAGGGAGGAAGGACAGAGAGGTGAAGAGAATGTCTCTCAGGCTTCTTGCCTTGAAAGCTCAGATCATCAAATGGTTAAAAGTAGCAGGGTCTTGTTCAACTGAGAAGCAGGTGTCACAGTGAATACTTGGCTCAAGGAATACTTGAGTGTCTTCTATAGTGCGCTAGGGAGGAAGCACTGTTTTGAAGTTGCTCCTTCTCAGCTAAGGAGGGAAGTTGGGAGAGGCTAGAATGCTGAATTCAGGAAAAGACGGTACACATATACATAAAAGAAGGCCTGTGACTCCACCCAGAGGACTCCAGACAGGCTGACCAGAGAAGTCATAGAGCAGAGGGTGTGGGAGGTATCTGAGAGAGAATAGGAATTGCCCAGTCATTTTGAGATGGAGAGGCATAGGAAGAAGACACAAAAGCAAGAACCATTAGGGAAACATTTACCCAAGGACTGCTGGGAAGTTAAGAGTGGCTGTGACTAAGTGTGGGCAGACAGAAAAGGGCATGGCAGTGATGACAGGCTTCTCATGCCAACCTGAAGGGTCATTAAAAACCAACAGACTGCAAGGGATTGTATACAGAGACAAGATTCAGTTTTCCAGCGGCTGCTTTTTTGTGGGGGAGGAGAGGTAGATGAAAGATGAGACACAGATCTAGGGAAGAAACCTAGAAGCCTAGAATCTGGTGGCTTTTGGCAGGCTGGGGAGAGCAAACATTAAGTCATTCTCTTCATGAATGAAGTGAAGATGGAGGTTTCTGTCCCACCAGATCCCATCCCCCTTAAGCCCCAAATAAACACACAGACAGACACTATATCAATTATAAAATGGTTGGCAGTTGGCTAGGGCTTCTTATTGGATAGCTGTCTTAGTTATTAACCCTTTTCTATTAACCTAAGTATTTCTACATGGTCTTATCTTATCGGAGAATGGTCCGGACCTGTTACTCCTTCCTCCACAACATGGCTTTCTTCTCCCCAAACTTCTCCTGGTCTGGTGGCCCCGCCTATGCCTCCTGCCTGGCTATTGGCAGGATGTTTTATTCATCAACCAGTAAGAGAAACATATATACAGGACATCCCCCAAAGGTGTGGCCACTGCTACAAGTTCACTGGCAAGGCAAGATGCTACTACAATGAAGCAACAGTGAAACCAGCAGAGATGTGGATACAGCTCAAAGGTAGACTGCTGGCCTAGCAGGCGTAAGTGCTAGGTTCAATCCCAAATACTATAAAAACAAATGAACAAAAAACTAAAATGAAAACTGAGGGCAAAATTAAATTAAGAAACCATGTGACATACTGATAGTTGGAGCTGTTAAGAATTGGGAAACCAAGGCCCAGTACAGGCAAGAAAATGATACTCTTTACTGTCTTCAACGTGTAAACAGCAGCGTCTTCTCTGAGTACAAAACCAAAACATGCCTGCTCTAAAATATTAGCAAGTACATGACAGCACACTGGGTTTGAAACTCTCCTGCAGCTGCCACCTACAGGACATTCAGATAGGCTTCATCTCCCAATGTTAAAACTAAACACACACTGTTTGTGTGACTTTATGTGACTTATGTGACTTTACCTGCTAACAAAGAAGCTCACTTTCTGTCTGTTTGGCCATTTGTTTTGCTTGGTGCTTCGAGTCAGGGTCTTGCTACCTAGCTCTGGCTAGTTGGGAACTCCTTATGTAGAATAAGCTGGGCTGCTCATGGCTGCCCAGGGCTTCCCAAATGCTGGGACTGTAGTTATGCTCATCCTGTGTGGACCCTTAGTTTTGTGTTGTTCTGAGCACATTTCCCTTACAGGAGATGAAGCTCCCCATCTGTATTTGGAGAGGCAGCACATTTCATTGAGTACTGATGGCATGTGGAGATGGACCAGCAGGCAAATGCTTCCATTACAGGCAATGGTTGGATATGCTCTCTGTAAACCTGTTTGTCTTTTGCTGGGAGGTGGTGGTGCATGCCTTTAATCCCAGCAATCCCAGAGGCAGAGAGGCAGAGGCAGAGAGGCAGAGGCAGAGAGGCAGAGGCAGAGAGGCAGAGGCAGAGAGGCAGAGGCAGAGAGGCAGAGGCAGAGAGGCAGAGGCAGAGAGGCAGAGGCAGAGAGGCAGAGGCAGAGAGGCAGAGGCAGAGAGGCAGAGGCAGAGAGGCAGAGGCAGAGAGGCAGAGGCAGAGAGGCAGAG